TGGTACTCTCCAGCGACATCTCCCTGCAGGTTAGACTGCCACCTTTATGATTGTTATTCCTAGAAAGCATCTCATTCGCGGCTGATAGACAAACATCTCGGTCCTGTTGACCCGTCCACCTTGAGCGCGCAACGCACCAGAGACAGCAACTCCGCTCCCGACAATAAATCCTCTCCGAGTCAGTCGTCCACCCCACATATTTCCGTGTGTCAGAACCTCGACGACATTGAATCCGCAGCACGCCAGAAACTGACGCGCAAGGCCTGGGTCTACTATGACTCTGCCGCCGAGAGTCTGGAGTCGTTCCACACCAACCGCCGCGACTGGGCCAAGATTTCGTTCCGTCCACGCGTGCTGCGCAATGTCGCGCGGGTGAGTATGAAGCGTCGCATCCTGGGCCACGACGCAGACTTGCCGTTCTTCATTTCGCCCGCGGCCATGGCCAAGCTGGGCCATCCGGACGGCGAACTCTGCTTGGCACGGGGCGCGGCGGAGAGGAATATCGTCTACTGCTCAAGTACGTACAGCTCGGTGGCGCACGACGAGCTGGCTCCCTGCTTTGACCGGCGCGAGGGGAGGGGCGCGTTGAGTTTCCAGCTCTACGTGCCGAAGAAGAAGGAGGATGCGAAGAAGTTGATCGACATGGCCAAGAGGCTCGGGTGTAAGAGTCTGGTCATTACAGTGGACACGCTCGTCGTGGGGAGAAGAGAGGAGGACGACAGGTATAAAGCGGAGATCGAGGTGCAGGAAGGGCGAGAAGTCCCTAGGACGACGAGCGTGGCGGACGGCGAAGAAGCGCCGATCCTAAGAGGTTATCATTCCTCCACGGTCGACTGGGAGGATATAAACTGGATGAGAAGGGAGTGGGGAAACGAACGCGGACCCGTGGCCCTCAAGGGAATCCAGACCGCTGAAGATGCTTATCTCGCGTCCTTGAGCGGCGTGGAAGCCATCTACCTGAGCAATCATGGTGGGAGGCAGCTGGACTTTGCACCGAGTGCGATCAGGACATTGTTGGAGATCCGAAAGTTCTACCCTCAGGTGCTGGAGACAATCGACATCTACCTTGACGGGGGTGTGCGACGAGGCACCGACATCCTGAAGGCATTGTGTCTGGGCGCGAAGGGTGTCGGTCTCGGAAGACCATTTCTTTACGGGTTGAGCGCTTACGGGACAGATGGGGTACTCAAAGTGATTGAGAGTAAGTCGTGCCATCCAACGAGAAGTACAGAAAGACTGACCACCCCGCGATAGTGCTGAGTGATGAAATCGAGACGACGATGCGGTTGTTGGGAGTGACTGAGTTGAGCCAGCTCGATCCACATTGTATCAACTACACTGCTCTGGAAAGGGACCTGCCTCAAGAAGTGAGAGAGGTGCAGACAGGGAGACAATTCAAGCTCTAAGGCAATGAATGATCCAGTTTTGTTCTCAGCCATGCCTTTGGAATTTGGCCCACGCTCTATACAAATTCGTCTTGATACCTCACAGCTTCGCACCGGCACTTCGAGCGCCCTGACGAGCCGCGGCAATGTCATTCGCAAGACCGCTGACAATAGAGCCATAGTCGAAAGTCGACAGCAGAAAGTCCATCCCCTCTGCGGCGCGCTTCCTCGCGTGGTCCTCCCCCATGCCCATACACCCGACGACCTTGCCCAGTTTCTTTCCCGCGGCACATATTCGTTTCAAGGCGTTGAGAAATTCCGGCTCTGGTCCGTCCACCGCCGCCGTGAGTCCCAGAGACAGTCGCAAATCAGCAGGACCGATGAAACACCCGGAGACGCCCTCGAGGGCGAGGATCTCCTCGACGTTCTCCAGCCCCTCGCGGGACTCGATGATGGGTAAGATCGCAATATCTCCTCTCTTGGCCCTCTCAAAGTATCCCCCCATTCCTCCGTGAGGCCCGTCCGGGTGGCCAAAGGGCGCGTAGAGGGGCCCAAAACTCCTCCGACCAGCCGGCGGATAGAGCGCACGATCCAGGATCGCTTTCATCTCGGCGACGTTGTTGACCATGGGGATGATAATGCCTGCGGCGCCGCTGTCGAGACCCCATTTCACATACTCGACCCCGTGCGATGGGATGCGAATAATGGGGAAGCGTGTCCCCCGCGATACTTGCACGTATGCGTGGACCATTTGCGTAACCACGTCCATGGTCAACGGGGCGTGTTCCATGTCGATCATGACGAAGTCGCCGTCCGCCTGTCCGGCCAGTTGGGCAATGATGGGTGACGGAATCGTCAAGACGGTACCGACCAGAGGGCCATCCTGAGACTTGATTTTCTGGACAAATGTCTTTGGTGATGCAGAGCTGTCTTGCGAGGTCCCGCTGGGAATGCCGTAGGATGCCATGTTCGCCTCGATATACGGAGTGCTGAAGGGGGATAGATGTCTGGAGATGTCTGTAAATGTCTCCTGAGATACCCTTTGCTATACTGGCCCTCGTACGTTCTTCCACCTCGAAATACTAATGAATCTTTTGGGGAAGCATATACTGTGTCACCTAGCCACGGGAAAGATGCCTCCCGCTCATCCAAACCGACACACGAAACGTGCATGACTCGGCTGTGGTGACTGGCCAGAGCAACCTATCGCTCAAAGGCCTAAGCATTGCCGCCACGCCACGCCCATTAACCGACTGATACACTCTGTTTGGTTATTCTATCTAGACCAACTGTTTCATCGTCCTGTGGCTAGTGTGTGCTTCTATTTCGACTATTCGGACAATATTCTAACTCATGAAGAACTCTCGGCTCACTGGTCAGTAGCACGTTAGAAGTCTACGCCGAGTAGACAGCACATTGCTGATAGCTGTGCTCTCGTTGATCGTAGTATTTCTTATCATATTTCGGATCATGATGACCTATGTAGAGAGTGCAGCGGTTCGATGAAGGGGGAAGAAGAACTATCGTGCAAGGCCAAACTGGAAGTTTTGTTATGCTTTCACACGAACCAAGAATCGAGTGGGATGTGAAGGGGATACTGCCGACTACACACTACTACACGCATGGAATGTTAATCTGATACATCCTGGCCCAAAAGCAGTGATTGCCATGTGATCGATCTGTCCTGGTCTCCTTTCCCATCTCGAAATAGTTGCAGGATTTCCACTTCAACTCCAAGGACCAGATCGTCTCGGACATGCACTTCGCCAGCAATTCCTTTCGATTGCTTGGGAGTACAGAGCACCCTGCGAAGCAAAGGACCAAGCTAAACTAAGTGCCCATCTCTTGTGCACCAGATACAAGGCTAAAATGAGTGCTAGAAATTCTAGGCCCAAGGACGGAAACAGCGACAACAACAACTGATGCTGAGTAGATGGCCAGATGGACTCAAAGGCCAGAGGCCACGACGGAGACCTCGGGCACTACTACTCCCGGCAACTTCTGGACTTCTGGAGCGTAGCCCTCGTCGGCTATCCCTCAGGGTTCGCAATGATTCCCCCTCTGCAACTCGGATATCGGCAGCCGCAGACGTGGCTGTTCTCTCGGACTTGTGACCAGAATGATTTTTCTTGGGGGCTTGCGGCGGACACATTAACAGGGTCCAGGTGTGTGGCTGACTGACGTGAGAGAACCTGAAGGTATGTTAAAGCAGACATATTACGCCCAATATCAACGGACTTTTGGTTGAGTGAACAAGCTCCAAATATATTCTCCAAGTCTCTCACAGTGGTTAACGTCCTCTCCTCAACATGGTAGCAGATTTGACGCCGCGATATCTCAAGTTCACCCCGCTGGGGGAGACATTCGTCGCCCAGGTTGACGGGCTTGACTTCTCTCAACCCATTCCCGAGGCGGTTCGGGACGAACTCCTCGCGGGGCTCCAGAAATATGGCGTTCTCGTCGCACGAGCGACCAACATCACAGACGACACCATGATTGCCCTTGGACGGCAATGGGGGGAGCTGGACAATATCACAGCCCACAAAAAGGCCGGGCGCAAGATGCGTCTCCCTCAAGACGAGATCTTCGACGTCGGCAACATCGACCCGGACAACAACATCATCACCGCGGCGGACCCGTTGCGCATCTCCAGCGCCCGGGGCAACGCTCTCTGGCACGCCGACGGCGCCTATAATCCTCGACGCTCGGGCATCTCGATTCTCCGGGCCGTCGAGCTGCCGCCAAAGGGCACCGGCGGCGAGACCGAGTTCCTCGACTCACGCACCGCGTATGAAGATCTCCCTGCCGAAACCAAGGAGAAGATTCGCGGCCTCGTCAGCCTCAACACCCTCCTCTGGAACCGCAAGCAAGCGAACCCCGACATGGACATGTTCAAGGACATCGACTGCACCAAGGTCCCTCTGTCCAGGCACAAGCTCGCGCAGATCCACGAGCCTACCGGTCGCGGCAACTTGTACATCGGGTCATACAACCACCACATCGAGGGACTCCCCGTCGAAGAGGGTCGAAAGCTCATCGACGACCTGCTCAAGCACGTCACGCAGGACAAGTATAAATTCGCCGTGCACTGGGAGAACCCAGGAGACGTCACGTTCTGGGACAATACGGCCGTCTTGCACCGCGCCACCATCGGCGAGTACAATGGCAAATATCGTCGTGATATGAGGCGGATCTCCACGTTCGATACGAGCTCATGGGCGTGGGGGGAGAATGACCCGGCGAATTCCACCCAAATTGGACTTCAGTGAAGAAATTGTTGTATGTAAAAAGGCCGAGTTGACGGCCTGAAATGAGTGTATGTATTTGAAAACGAATGGCGAGTCCTCCATCACAGACTTTGCTGCTCGAGTAACATTTGACATTTGACACGGTTATTTTGATAAGAATAAATTCTCTTTATTTTATGGAGCAATCAATCCTGGACCCGCTTTCAACGAAGTGACTCGAATTGTTCACCTGTGAGGGTTTGGTTTTGAGAGTCAATCATGTCGACTACTGTCTTTCTATATGCTCTGGTCTTGAATCGTCCTTCCCAAAGACACCGCGACTCTTTCTCTCTAGTTCGATCAAAAGATAGCCATGGCGTTAGGATGACTACCCACGCCGCCTGGAAAGTGTGAAAATGTGAGCGAAATACTCTCTAGCGTTGGGTAGGGTGGAAACCTTACCGGGTACGTTTGACGGACTGCTCACGAAGAAGAAATGATATCTACCGTGTCTCTTGCACGCGTCCGCCAGCTTCTCAAAGTCCCACATCTCCCCTATGGGACAGCCCCAGCGTGGGAGCAGGTAGAGATGGTGGTTCCAGTCGTACGGGGTCGGCCACGACTCGAAGGCCGGCGAGTCCGAAGCCACGGCCGCGAAGTAGTTGTCGTGGAGGAAGTCGACCATCTCCTCGCTGACCTCGACGCCGACGAATTTGAAGTCGTAGACGCCCGTCCCTTTGGCAATACTGGCGCGGCTGTCCTGGTCGAGTCTCTGGTAGTTGTCGATCCAGCCGGTGCGGATCATCAGGATGTCGCCGTATTGAAACGTCAGGCCCTGGGCTTTTGCACAGGCGAGGAGCTCGGATGTGGAGATGGGATGAGTCTCGTTCGGGTCATATTTCTTGTTGTTCTGCAGAGCATACGACCAGTAATCGATGAGAACTCCTCTTCCGACTTTGTATGCTGTCAGCGCCAATTGGATTGTTGATACAGGGGTTCTTCTATACCAATGCCATGGTCTGCCCATGCTTGAATTCCACAGCGCGTAGTGTTCATGATTTCGTCTTGGGTAAGCTAGCTCAATTAGTTCTGGCGACAGGCGCCTGAAAGGGCAACGCGGAGCAATAGCTGACATTATTGTAAAAGACATATCCGCCACCATTAGCGATGCTGACCTGGGAGAGACCGTTAATCATCATCTTCCAACGTAGCGCCGATATGTCTTACATGTCTGAACCCGTCCCACTGCGTTTCTCGTCAGCTCCACCATTCAAAAGGCTTTTTAGTAAATCGCTTACCTGCGACCCCGACTGCGAGTTCATCTGATACAAATCATCGTTACCGGCTGGACCTAGGCTTTTCACTTTCCACTCAAAGGGCTCGCGACCGAATGCTGGAGGATTGGGGAGATTAAGAGGCCAGCTAGATGTCCATCAGGACTAGAACAACATATGGCAGAAATATCGCGTTTGTCATACTCCAGATTGACCGTCTCCCCGGACTCAACGAGCTTCGCGGCCTCCCGTCGGCGGCGCGGAGTCAGCAGGTTGAGTCGCCCTAGCTGTGACGTGTCACTGTCAGTCCATCCCGTAGTGACGCGAGCACTCGAGAGGAGATGGTACCTCGTCATCCTTGCCCCAGAACCACGCGGCACCCTTCGGAGCACCGGGAATATCTGGCAGTTCCGCGCGTTTTGGGAGACTGTTGGAGTCTGGATCGAAGCTCATTTTGTTTCCTTTGGTGTCGGTACTGCGTACGGGAGTCGCTTGATTATACAGTCGATTGATGGGAGTGCCGTAAAACCTCCAAAATTATCGCCACTGACGGCCCATGAGTGACCAAGCCCGATTGTTCTTATATCCCTGGCACGTTCTACAATGAAGCCAAGCCCGTTCTGCTCTGCCTATGCTGTCTGACGGTGATTGGATTGGCGATGCACCTCGGCAACACAGGGCAAAGGGCTATATTACACACTCGGATCGATAGCCGCACAACACTTCAAGTTGTATGGTTTGCTTCGACCGATTCGTGCGTGTCCAGGGTCCACTGGCCCTTGACCCCAGGGATTTAGTGTTATTGGTCCCACGGCAATAGATGGCGGGAGCGGAGAGACTCTCATATTGGGTTACTCATAGTGTGCTAACCATATATGGATAGATTCAAGACAGCGACTCCACAATATTGGACCCACCCGGCCAATGACAGCATTCACAGAGCAAGCCTTTTCATTTGAGACCTGTATCCAATGCGCAAAAGCGAGATCTCTCTAAACGTCGTAGTCTCTCTGCTCGTCTATACCGTCCACAAGTCCGAGGTAGAAGGTTAGATCCCGTCCGTCCAGGTCTCGCATCGAGAAGCCGTTGCCTAACCAATACCATGCATTCCCATGTCTGTATTTGATGTGATAGTCCTCATACCGCGGTGAGCTCAACAGCTCCATACTAGATAAAGAGTCAGCAGCATATCACATCAAAGTTGGCCTCCTCACTTGACATGAGAGAAGAGAAATGTTGGGAGAGATCACTTACTACTGCAGCCTGGTTCCTGGGTGAAGCATTATCCGCCCGTCGATTGTGCCTCCTTTGAACCAACTCCGACACGGTGCGTCGTAGACGGTTCGCTTGTTGAAAAGGTCAGCATGCTCGGCATATTGATCAATCATCTCCGTCTTGGGCGTAATGCTCTTGATATCCTCCAGCTGGATCTTGCGGACCATTTGAACAATGTACGATGCAAACAGCTCGATCATGGGCATGGCGCTTCCCTGCCCGAGAGGCCCGTAAGGGCCATAGAACGTGAAGTAGTTGGGCATGCTGGGCGCTCCCACACCTAGGTATCCAATAGGTTTCTTCGCGTACAGATCCTGTAGATTGATACCATTGGCGACGATTGGGAATCGAGGAACCCAGGAGGTGTCGAAGCCAGTGGCGCAAATAATCACATCCACTTCCTGCTCGACGCCATCCGGGTCGATGAACCCTTTGGGGGTAATTTGAGATAGTCCGCCTTGACAGTAGACCTGGACATTCTCTTCAATCAAAGCCTCGAGGTAGCCGTTACCGGGGCTGGAATGCGTCAGCAAATAATTGCTAGGTGGAGGGACGTCGGTGAAATGACACTTACGTGGGCCTCTTGCAGCCAACGGGGAATGTTTTTGGGATCAGCGCTTCTGCCAGCTTTTCATGGCCTTTCAAGCGCCCTGTCATTTCTGTGTGGGCAAACTGATTCGTGTTAGTGAGCCACTTGTCATGTTCCTTTTTCGTGGACGTACCTTCATTGCTGCCATCGAATCCGGGGTATTCTTGTGAAATACGTAGAACCCTCGAACCATCTCAACTTCGACCGACTTCCTATACTTGAGGTAGTAGTCGGGGTCATTGCGGAAACGTTTCTTCTGTTCTTCCGAGTCTGTCATCGTGATGGGTTAGTACCAGTAGATCAAGCAGAAAGTGCCTGCGCAGGAAAATACATTCGAAATTCGTGCCGTTCTCTCCGGCGTACTTCTGTGCAAACCCAGCCGTCATCCAAGTCGGCGTCCGCACCCAAGTGTACAGTTTCGACACGTCCTTCTGGATGTTGGCGACAATCTGGATCCCACTCGAGCCGTTTCCCACAACAGCCACTCTCTTGCCCTTCAGGTCCAAGTCATCTGGCCACGCCGCGGAGTGCGTCAAGATGCCTTTGAACGAGTGTAGGCCTTGGATATCTGGCCACTTCCATTTACTGTGCGTCGCTTAGCCTCCGCCACGTTAGAGTCCTCTGCGGAAATGCTTACTTTAAGAATCCCATTGCATTGACGAAAATATCGCACTGCTCATCGATCTCAACACCAGTCGCGAGATCTCTGATCTTCAGGTTCCATAGTCCAGTCTCCTCATCCCAGTCGGCGCGCTGGACCTCGTGGCTGAACTTGATGTACTTCCAAAGGTCAAACTTGTCGACGACGCCTTTGAAGTAGGCAAAGATCTCCGAAGCCTCGGCGTAGTACTTGGACCATACTTCTGGGTTCCAGGAGAATTGGTAGGTGACACTCGGTATGTCGCACGCACAACCACTGCATTTCATTCATGTCTGTCAAGGACAGTCCTTGGAGGCTGCAATGAGATTTTAGAACGTGAAAGTCACTTACGGATACTTGTTCTCCCACCATGTCCCCGCTACGTCGTTGTTCTTCTCATATATGACCAAATCGACATTCTGCAGGCGATCCTGTGCGAACTTTGCCAGGTTGATGCCCGACGCACCAGCTCCTGCGCAGATTATCCTGAGCTTTCGCGCGGTTCCCGAGGGGACTTCGTTGATCGAGTATCCGTTTTCATTGGTCGTCGGCCAGTTGTACAGCGCTGGATAGTTCTCCGGGGGCACAGTGATCCCGTTCGCTTTTGGAATTTCCTCTTCTTGCACCAGTTGGACAGCCATGGTTGACGGGCTGCCTGTTAGTGAAAGAGCCAGCAATCTCTATGTCTCTACAAAGGCTGGCCTACACCTACTTACCTGGAGCGAAGACTCACTCTTTCAACAAACGTGACTGATTGCCTCAGACAAGCTACAATTCGCGCTAGGAATCCATGCGTGTCTTGCCACAACACACGGGTATGATCCGCTCTCCGAGTCAGATTTGTCCCAAGCAGTGTGTTTTCGGTTCGGTAATTTATCCGTTACGATCCGTCACGCCTGGGACGAAGTGCATGTAATATTCGGTACAGCAGTTCAGATGATATCTCATGCGGGGGAGAGAGCTTTGTTGCACAGTTTCAATACCCTGGATTCACGGTTTAAGTGACGGTTTAACTCACAAGGGTTAGTTTAGCTTTGAACTGCAGAGACGTTTTGCCTTTGAAGCTTTGATCTTCTCATTGTCTTTCTATATAGTGAACGGGACGACTTTCTTGATCACAGCACAGCAAGCGCATTTGGTGGACTCGCCACGCCCCCTTCGATGTTCAGTGGTGCACTCGTCACAAAGAACGTCCACCTCTTCTGTTTCTTGCATTCGGCAGCCAATGCTTCCAAATCCCACAGCTCCCCCAATGGTGTTCCCCACAGACCGAGCGCGGTGTCATGGATACCTGAAGTATTGTCAGTGTCGGAATTTATAGGGTCATAGCATTTGAGGTATGCCGGAGGGGCATGGCGTGAGACTTACGGTACGGCATCTCGGCCGGCCAGGCTTCGAAGGCCATGTTGTCCCCGACGAGGGCAGCAAAGTGGTGGTTCCACAGCCACTCGATGGACGATGCTGTCCCCTCGACTCCGATATAGTTGTGGTTGACCTTACAGCCTTGCACCCTCTCCTCGTCCGTGGCTTCATTGTACCACTTGATCCATCCCGTGCGCACGAAGAGGATATCGCCGGGAAGAAATTCACTTCCCTGCCACTTGGCGATCTCATCTAGGTCCTTCTCAGTGATCTTGTGCTTGCTATCCGCCCTGTATTTGATCCCTTTGTGCTCCGCCCACGCGACGTAGTCAATTAGGATCCCTCGTCCGGTGACGCCTCCTCGTTTGAGCCATTCTGTGCGCCCGTGATCAGATTTTGTTCAGAGCGTCGTTGTGACGAACGGTACAGTCTGTTACTCACCTTGAATTCCGTTCCTGGAGTTCGGATTCGGTCCACTGATTTCCTCGTGGGTCAGTCCGTTGTAGTATTGCTGAGTCTCCTGAAAAGCCCAGTGTCCTGTCTACTGTTAGTGGAAGGTCGTTCCTTCGTGAAGCCGATGCCAGGGTGGTACTAACGCAACCCATCCCACTGGCTGCTGGTCTGGGTGTTGATTGTGATTTCGTCGTCATGTCCCACCAGCGCGGGCTTCAAGTCCAGAAACTTGTGGATGATGGGATTTCGATTATGTCCCGGATTGCGAATATTCTCGAGTGGCCAGCTAACGGAGCCTCGTCAGCGGACTGCCTATCAAGATACGTCCTTGAGAGATGCATACTTCAGCGAGACGCTCACTCCCGCCTGGATCTCTTCTTTGGCACGGAGAACCTTCTTCGGCGTCAGCAGGTTCAGTGTCCCCAGCTCGTCCTTGACACCGTCTTTGTCAAATAAGCCCCACGCGCAGCCATGAGGCATCCCCGGGACGGGCGGGATGTCCTTGTACAGGGGCAAGTCTTCGGCTTCCAGAACCATTGTGATGTATGCTTTCCCACAGGGTACGTGCTCTGTCTGTGTTTGACCATTCCACGAACTAAAGAATCGAGCCCAGTTTAAATTACTAGTTCCTCAAGTCATGTGTTGTGTCTCATGGGCCAGATGGGCCGTCCCTCCGTGTTTCGGGCCTTGTGCTCCGCTGGATAGACTTATCTGGCGGATGACCCGAGACTCTACACTGTCACTGCAAGCATGCGGGATAATAGCCGCTCTAACTTTGAGCATAGCTTGTTGTTCAAACGTCGTCAACCGCCTGCTATACGACAGTCTTGTCGTTCCATTCAATGACGACTTTTCGGAGATATGATTTCATGCATGTGTCGAATCTAGCTAGTACTTTAAGACGTCCCTCGGTAGCCTGTGTATCGGTCCCTGGCGAGAATCTACGACTGATGCAGTGCGAGCGATTCTTTCAACAGCGCGTCCCCAAGCTCTCTCAGCACGTTCTTCTTGATCTTCCCACTCCCCGTCAATGGATACGAGTCGCCAACTTTGGGATCGCCAATCCAGAAGACATGTTTCGGCGCTTTATGCCTCCCGAGTCTCCGCCTTACCCAGCTTCTTACTTCTTCGTCATCTGGCCGTTTGTCACTCGCAGCTTGTAGAAAGGACGCCACGATCTCGCCGTATTTGTCATCCTTCAACCCCACGACGCTGGCGTTCATGATCAATGGGTGTTCCATGAGGATCTCTTCGATTTCGAGAGGGAAAATATTCTCCCCGCCTGGTGGTCACCAATAAGTTTGTTGCCCGGGTTATATGGGAAGGCAAACGTGAGGGGAAGGGATTGGAACGTACCGCGAATGATGATGTCTTTTATCCGACCCGTGATTTTACAGTATCCATCTTCGTCGAAGGCGGCTTCGTCGCCAGTATGCATCCACAAAGTCCCGTGCTCGTCCCGTATCATGACCTCCTTTGTCTTCTCCGGGTTCTTCCAGTAGCCCTTTTGCAGCAGATAACCGGAGATACATAGTTCTCCTTTACAGCCGATGGGCACAATGTTTCCCTGCCCGTCAATTATCTTTGCTGATGTATGTGGTAGGATCGTGCCGACGGTGGCTAATCTTCGTTCGAGCGTGTCGTTCCAGGATGTCATGAAGCTTGCGGGAGACGTTTCCGTCATACCTGAAGTTAGTCAGTCTGCGAATCATGGGAGAAAAAGCGACGATGAGGCTCACCGTAGGTATTTGTCAGGTACTTGAGGCTCATTTTCTTCCCCAGATCCTCCATCATCTGTCTCGGCGTTGCTGAACCTGCAGCAATGCCCGTCCTCAGCCTTGAGAAGTCGTGTTGCGGCCCAATCAGCTGCATCTCCGCCGCCCACATGGCGGGTACGCCGTGAATAGCTGTACATTGCTCGTCTAGGACGGCGCTCAAGACAGATTCGGCATCAAAGCTGTCGCTGGGGAACACGATGGTGCTACCGTGGGTAATCGTCGCCAATAGTCCCAAGACGAGCCCGAAGCAATGAAACAATGGTGGAGGGCAACAAAGAATGTCCTTCTCGGAAAGCGCCATTCGATCCCCAATGAAGCGCGCGTTGTTGATGATATTGCTGAAAGCACGAGTGGTCAAATTATATGACCTCAAAAGTAGACTTGGGACTTACAAATGTGTTAGCATGGCTGCCTTCGGATTGCCCGTCGTCCCACTGGTGAACTGAAGGTTACAGACGTCGTGAGGAGATACAGCCAGCTCTGCCGTCTGCAGGGCCGTGTCGCTTACTTCATGACCTCGGGAAATAGTGTCACGTAACGTCGGAAGAAATTTGTACTTGGTTGTCTGATCGTCTCTCAACAGAAGCAATTTCTGTAAGCCAGGTATGTTTGTGGCCCCGGTCGAATCCAGGAGGGTCTCGATTGTGCTATCATAGCTTCGTGTGCCGATTCTGGCCGTAATGAATAGCACCTTGCACTCTAAACCGGCCCATTAGCATACATTTTCCTGCAGGGGGAAATGCAATGCACATACCACTGGCAACGATTGCCCGCTTCAGCTCTTCTGGCGTGTATGTCACATTGAGCACCACGAGAATCGCGCCTATTCGTCCACACGCGAAGAACAGCTCCACATACTCGGCGCAGTTTCCCGCAAAAATTCCCACGCAGTCTCCATGTCGGATTCCAAGAGAAAGCAGGCCTCGCGCAATCTGTTGGCTCCGCGCGCGAAGGGACGAGAAGGAGTGGCGAACGTTTTGAGCCCGAGACACCAAAGAGGTTCTGGAGGCAAGTTTCTGCGCCTGCAGGTCCAGCAATGTCCCTAGATGGAGGCTTAGTAGCTCTGGCTCCTTTGGGCCATGAAGAATCGATAGCCGCGTCTTCTGGTCGAGGTGGCGGAGAGTCTGATGCAGACGCTCAATGGCCATAATGGCAGTGAGCTACTGATACTTCGGAGCAGAGAGGTGTAGCTGGGCTCCTACAGTCTCCTGTCGCGACTCAGCGCGTATTTACATGGACGTGTGGGAATCTTCTGTGTCAGAGATCGGTGGACACGGAACCAGCCCGTGACCAGTCTGGGGAGACCGGAGATGCGGTGCAGGGACCCTGACTAACTGCGAAGTGGTCCAAAGGGCTTGATCTGGCTCTCCTACAAGTATTCACATTGTCACTTATGTGGCAGTCGCCCCATCGTAGCGTCTTCTGGCCGATCGAAGCCACCATGGGAGCACAGAATATTCCCTTATTAGCCACACATCTGCTCAGATTCACGTCCTCAGTGACCATCGTTCAGACTCTGTCCATTCTTTTGGTCTATATACTGTCATTCTTCTCTTAGCAGCCATACTTGTTGCGCATCTTGGGCTCAGAATGGCTACTTATCAGAAAATAGCGCTCAATGATGACTTTTTTTTCCACTAGATGTCTCTATCACATGCAAGAAACTGAGGCTCAAACCCAGATCACAGTATCGAAATGACTGCATTTCAAGCCTTTTCGGTGTTGTAGCCCTGTCCCCAATACGGAACCCGATCTTTGAGCGATGCAGTTCAGTGTATCACATGTTCGAGCGTCTGTTAGCACGATCAAAATGAGCCTGCCACGGGATGAAGCTTCCAGTACCCGAATTGGAAAGTAGAGCCCACAACTCGACTTCGCATTGGTTTGTTTCGTTGATGCTGTTGTGCATAAAAGTAGACACAAACACTTGCCACCAGCTACAAGGAGGAGTACGGTCCTGCTCCGTGGCAGGGCAGTTGAGCATCTCGACCATCATGCCATGTCACTGAGTTGGGTTCATTCCCTCGACCCAGAGAGACACGCCCTCCAGGCTCGAATGCCCAATCGGGTCGGCAATAGATACCCGAGATTTGTGGACACGGATCCCCACCGCATCTTCCGCCCTGGAACCTGGCCACTTTGCTTGACACTAGCCAACGCCGAGAGGACGGATCTTTGATCTCGCGCTCGGTATTTTGTGAAGCATGCTGGGAAAAGGTCAAACTTTCCACCTTCCTTGATCTCGGAGTGCTACAGCTTGAAAGACCTTGCTCGAATGGTACGCCTACGAGTATATAGTATTGAGGTTTGGCAATTTACATCAGCCTTTTACTCTTCGAGATTTACATACAAGTCGCAGGGATATGCATGTTTTGAGTCCCTAGTGACTTTTCTTCCAGGCACGCTCATAGTAGACTGGCTGACTAGCTACACTTTTCCCTCGATTATGCCCGACCCATTGCTCAACTCTGGCAGGGATTTCCTTGGCTATCACTGTGGCAAATGTTAGGCCACGCGATGTTCTCGTTCCTTGTAGTTCCAGAGTCTTTTGACGCTTGCCCCGCCCACAAATGACTTTCGCACCATCGGGGTTGTCTTTTCATAGGCGCAAAAGTAGGCTCGGAGAGACCCTCCTTCCACCCAAGAAGAAATGGTTGGCAGCTCCGGGGCAACATGTGGGGGATTTGAAAGCGTGGCATTCCCATCCCACACCTACGCTCGCTTGCTACCGTAGGCATAGCCATCGCACCACTTTGACAATCTGGAGCATTGTTCTCTCCTCTTACCAATCTAACCCTTCAAAATTTGAGCCACGATTACAACGCAAGCTGTTATAGGGAAACTTTTCAGTGACAGAATGGCAGAGGAGGCCAGGGAGGCTGAGATTGACCACCCGCGCGGAATCAAGAGAGTAAGACAGGCGTGTGCGAACTGCAGGTAGGCATGAATTCACCTCCCGCCCACGGCATGAGGGTTTTTTTTCCTTCTTCTTTTTCTCCTCTCTCTAAGTAACCGCACCAGGCGCAAGAAAGTCCGATGCTCGGGTGAAAGACCCTCGTGCTCTTTCTGCGCACGACTTGGGCAGGACTGTCACTATCTACGCGAGACTACGCTGGATGGAAGGGATCCGATGTCCCACGGAGGCGGATCCGCCAGCCGATTAGAAGTATGAGAATGCTCCGGACGAAGGTCTCTTCTGTTAAGACAGTATTGATTGAATTCATCGAGGAACAGGAAGATCTTATCGCTCGAGTCGCGTCTCTGGAAACGAAGCTGGCTCAGCTAAGTCAATTGAATGCGTATGTGTTTCCTTTTGTTGGCCTTTTTTTCTCCTCCCGGTGAAACTGATTTTTCAGACTTATCCCTACTTTGACCAACGCGTCGGGGCAATCGAAATTGCTTGACGGGGGCTCGGTGACAGCATTAAACGATACGGGTACTTGGAGTGACAGATCGTTACATTCACCCTCTGTGGGCAGCACTAGCCCTCAGTCCGTACAGCGGCGGTATGGCGTCTTGGATCCCGTTCATGTACAAGTGAACTGATTTGTCTGCTAAAGCTCCTTCCAAGAGTTGCCACCAATATCCGTGCTTGAAAACGCTTGCAATACCTTCTTCCAGTACTGCCACAATCAACCATACACATTTTTCCACGAAGGAAACTTCCGAGAACGATTGCAACAAGGGACATGGCCCAACTACTTACTCTTTGCATTCTTAGCATCTGCTCTGCGTTACTCAACAGACCCATGGTTTGAGGGGAAGCATAGTGACGCCCTAGAAGAATACGCGGCAGCTTCGTGGAGGCTTATTGTCGGTTGCGGCTGTGCTGTCGAAGAGGGCGCCGACACTGCGGTCGTGCAAGCCATCTCACTTCTAGCCGTCATCGATTCTGCTGGTAAGTTGTGTCGAATCCCCGATCTCAGTTCGATTACTAAGACTTTGGTAGCTGGGAGAAGACGGGCGGCATGGGTCAAGATCGGTTTGGCAGTTCGAATCAGTCAAGACCTTCACCTCATGATGGACCCAGCTACCAGTCTGCCGGAGACGGTACGAGAAGAGCGCCGACGATTGTTTTGGTCGATTTACCTTCTGGACCGATTTGTTTCGTGCTCAAAACAACGACCTCCAGCCATCTTGGACTCGGACTGTCAAGTACAACTCCCTTGTGACGAGCTCGATTTCCGTCAAGGCATCGCGCAAAAGACCGAGACGCTCACAAATCTGGGCACGGGGGCTAGCAGTGGCCACCCGGCGTATAGACCGGGACAGTTTGCACTACTTGTCCTCATGGCTTGCGTCCTGGGTCGATGTGCAAGGTACATGCTTGACAATCGCGATTTCGCAGAGGAGCGAGCTCCGTTCAATCCACAATCGGACTATGTGACCATATCGTCGATCCTCCTCTACTACGAGTCATTCATCGATTCTGGCAGAGCGGTGGAAGAGATTGTCCGACTGGGTATGCTCAAGCAAGACGGCGTGGTTGACCAGCAGATGGTCGGACACATGATTCTGGCACGGGTCCTGTTTCACCTGTGCCACTGCTTACTGAATCATCCATTTCTCCTCCGGCAGCGGGTGAATGCGACACAAGAAAAAACGCCGACGACTTGGTTGGCGAGGTCGCTGGAGGTGGGACTCGAACATGCCGGGCGCTTGACGAGAGTCTTTCGGGACGCAAAGGACACGGGCTGTACCGTGGCAACTTCATTCTACGGATATTGCCTGCTGGTTGCGGGCACGATACACGCCCTATACACGCACTCGCAGGATCCGGAGCTGCAGCAAGAATCCATGGGCTATTTGATCTCCGACATTGCCTATCTGGACGATATTGCGCGATACTGGAAGAACACGAAACTGATCGTAAGTCCTCTTTGTCCTACCTTTTTTTTTTTTTGTGCGCTTCCATTCACACAAACCTATACAGGCATCTGGACTCAGAACGTTCTGGGGCCACAGCGCGAGGTTCAGCAGCCTTCTGGACCCAAAACCTTCGCCGTCGACGTTCAGTATTTTAGATCTTGAGATTCTGTGGACGTCGGTCGACTACGGAATCATGTCCGACCCCGACAAGTCCCTGTCACAGAGCGTCTGCGCCTCGGACGCGTCGCCGCTTGGATGGGGAATGTCGCCGTGGAAAGACGACAACGACCTCGTCGACCACATCTCGGACGCCGACGACAACCCGTTCCTGCACAGTTTGGCCATCGTGAACAGCCCGCTCGACCACGCCACCGGGACTCGGACGCCCGGACAACATCGCATGTCGCTCAGCAGCATCCAGCCGTTTCTGCAGCTCAATTCGGTCTTTGGGACACCCAATTTTGGATTGGAATCCCCCAAAGTCAACGAACCTTCCATCAATATTGAGAGCGACCACGCATTGGCCTTTGGGTTGACGCGGGCACGGTCTTTATCGTGAGAGTGGTCGGGGATGTTGGTGGCACCGGACTTATCCACCTTGCGGGGGGTTGAAGATCTGGATGCCCAGTGTATCTGTATTATTTCGCATGGGGAGTGATCCATTCAACAGAACATTTTGTGACGGGAATTTATACCTCCAAGGAGCGGGTTTTTGTAATGGAAACTTGTCTTTATCATCTAGACAGGACCATTCGCTTCACCCTGTCCAAGAATAGCTGCTACAGTATATCGTCTCTACAGATGTATGGTTGAGGACAAGGGTAATAAAATCCCAAAGGGTTAGTTAATATGTTTCGCAATTGCTGTCAATGCACAAGTAAACCTCTCTCGAAGAATTGCACGGCTAGAAGATCTCCCTGACCTTGAGCTTCCGTGCCGCAATCCTCTTTTCCTCTTCCTCGCTCAACACAAAGGAGTAGAATTTCTTCTCCAGCCCCTCGCTCGTGATGTAGGGACTCAGGTCCCCATCGTCCCTCATTTGATTCTTGGTGAAGCCCAGGCCCATGAACGCCCACATGTTCTGCTTGTTTTCGTACTTGATCTCGTAGTCTTCGAAGCGCGGAGAGCTCGTCATCTCGCAGTAGTGCAGGGAGCTGCCGGGCCAGACCGAGTTGACCCTGCCGGTCTCGTTGTTCTTGTACCAGCTGCGGCAGGTGGTCTCGGCCCAGCAGGTCCCCGAGATCCACGCCTGCGCGTGCTCGTTGAAGGCGTCGGTGACATCCTGCCTCGGGGTGAGGGAGTGGAGATGATCCCTCTGCATCTTCTGGATCACCTGCACAATGTACTGTCCCACGGACTGGAGAGGACCCATGACCGATCCGTTCGACACGGGAAACGTCGGGCCCTGAAACACAAAGTAGTTTGGCATGTCAGGCACGGCGAGGCCGAGATAGCCCTCGGGAATGGTCTTCCATTTCTCTTGGAGCGAGACGCCGTTGCGGCCGATGACGGGATACTTGGGCTTGTAACTAACATCGAATCCAGTGGCGCAGATAATGGTATCGACCTCGACCTCGGTGCCGTTGGCCCCAATGACGCTGGTTGGTGTCACCTTTGTAACGGCGCAGCGATGCAACGTCACGTTGGGCTCCTGGATAGCCTTCATGTAGGGATTGCCGGGCGTAAGACGTCGACAGCCGGGCGAGAAGCTTGGGATCAACTGTTCGTAAATGTCGTCCCGATGGATGTGTTCCCGCATACGTTTCGTGAAATAGTCTCGGACGACCTTGGCCTCTGCGCTCGATGTCATCATGGCTTTGAGGCCCATGGCGGTATTCAGTTTTCCCTCGATGGTCTTTGCTTGATTGATGAGTGCAGCATTGTCGTGTTTAAATCTCTCTCTTTCGTCAGCCGTATCTGTCCATGGGGTCAGTCAGTCAATTCAACCTCGATGTATTTTGACCTTGGACGAAAAAAAAGGGGGTGACTGACAATCGAAGTTGTCCCCTGAATGATCGGCAATCTCAGCAAACCACACGGGTGTCCTGACGAAGACGTCCATAGACTTCACATGTGGCTGTAGCGTTGGCACGACCTGAATGCTCGTAGCACCAGATCCGATCACCGCTACTCGGTCGTGCTTCCAATGGGATGCACCATACTCATCAGGCCATCTGGCGGTATGCAGCAACCTGCCCTTGAAGTCCTTCAGGCCTTGTACCTCGTCGGGCAACTTCCACGAGTTCAACAGGCCATTGGCTGCGACCAATATGTCACAGGTCTCTTCAATCGTTTCGTCTGTGTCGTAGTTGTGAATCGTCACATGCCATTTCCCCTCGTCTTCGTTCCACTTTGCGGCCCGGATGGCATGGTTGAACTTCATGTACTGGCGCAGCCCGAAACACTCGACTACCCGGGTCAGGTATCGAAAGATGTCATCTGAAGCACTCAGGTATTTTGGCCAATCGGCGTTGAGCGCAAACGCATATGTGTATGCGTGGGATGGTACATCGCAGGCACAGCCAGGGTACCGGTTCTGGACAACCCAGTCGTTAGCAACACGGTCGACGTATTCCTGAGCGATAATCAACGAATCTTCTTAATTACCTCAAGCCAAGTTCCACCTATATCACCATTTTTCTCATACACGACGTGCTCGACATTCTCGCAATGCTTTTGTAGCAGATATGCCATGAGGATGCCGCTGACCCCGGCACCAATGGTAAGCACCTTAACCTTTCGGTTCCCCGGATCGTCAAGAACAAAGTCCGGGACCGTGTAGCCATCTTTGGTATGACCAAGTCGATACCCATATTTTCCTCCCGGGCCATTCGGGTCAACAACCCCATTCACCGCACCATTGCCGTTGACCTCTGCCCCAGCTTTGTCCACATCAAAAACCATGGCTGTGGTAAGCAATTAGAGTCGTGTCGATGGTATCGAGTCGTTGCACAAGCGAGGCTTGTCTTCCTTTAACTATAGATCTAATGTGGGATGTCTATCTGCATGCGGCAGTGCCAAAAAGGCATCTAAGTCAGGAAGAGCCGACCCATCGGAGTCAGAACGGGGAAGGCCCTCGAATGAGTTGGACAAGGTTTTTGTCCAATGCGGGAAATTGTCCATTTTCTGACATGAACATGTCGTCAAAGCCTTTGCAATAGGTCCAGAGAGATCGAGAAAGAAGAAGAGGGGAAAAAAAAAAGAGTCAGGCACTCCTGACGCTCTATAGCTGGGGTTCCATGTAAGTTCGATTTATGGCACGTCTTGATACGCTATGAAACCACCTTGACGTAGGAAGAAGTCAATGTCCATGCCTGGTCTATTCAAATGTCTTGCAAGAACGTCACACAGGCTCTCAAGCTGCAGCACCCCCGTCTACCGGCACGATTGCTCCCGTGATAAATGATGCTTCGTCGCTCAGCAGGAAGGCGATCAGGTTGGCGACTTCTTGGGCCTGCCCTTTCCTCTGCAGCGGTAGGCTGGAGTATGTATTTGTCGTTTGATTTGATGTCGAAGAAGGTGCTCCAGCGAGCAAGCTGTCAAGCATTGGCGTTTCAATGGGACCGCTAGAAAAGAGAAGTGTCAGTATCGTGTCTCTTGCACTCTGGGAAAGTCGAGACTCACGGAGCAATGGCGTTGACCCTGATTCCCTGAGGGCCCATTTCTTTGGCAACCGTCTTCGTCAGTCCCACCACTCCATGCTTGGAGCAAACATACGCCCCTAAGCCTGGCCTCCCGGAGATCCCTGACAGGGAGGATGCGTTCACGATACTCGCTCCCCGCTTCATGACCCGAATTTGCGCTCGCACGCAATACATCAAGCCACTCAAATTGATGGCGATCATCTTGTCCCACGTCTCATTCTTCAGGTCGGCAATGTTGGTGAATCCCAGCTCGATGCCGGCGATGTTTGCAGAGGCGTCGAGGCCGCCAAAATGCTCCACAGTCGAGGCGATCCATTTGTCCACCGCGTCGCTCGATGATACATCGAGCACGGTGCCGACAACCTCAACCCCCTGACTTTGTAGCTCGCTGACCACTTTGTTCAAGGCATCCTTCTGGATATCAGCCAATGCTAGTTTGGCCCCTCTCTCGGCGAGCAGTTTTGTGAGGGCTAGTGCAATGCCAGATGCGGCACCCGTGACGGAGACTACTTTTCCTTTCAAAGACATTTTGCTGTATTTACTAAGATTGCATGAAGACGTGGAACAGTGGTTGGGCGGGCTTTTCCAAGCCAGCCAGTATACACAGTAAGATTAAGTATTCGTGATATGGCCGGTAAATTGCTGGGCGAGGGGTGCCCGACACGGCTAGCACCCATCCTACTACGAACAAGAGACGGATGGTGGTGATCGACCTATTTCCGCGAGCGGCATGCACCCGCTCACGTGCACTGTGGAATAGATCCAGCAAGGTCTTTTCAGCGAGGGTAGAATGATGTCAGGAACGGGGCTCAACCGAGGCCCCTTAAGCTAACGCATTATCTGAGTTGGACCTGAATCGCCCTCTTATTTCTGAACGACACGTACAATACAGGTTACGACAGGCCTACATTGATGACAAAATATCGTCAAGGGGGTTGGTATCATGGTGGAGAGGATGAAGCTAGCGATGGATATCTGGAACGCTTGTGTGCAGTAGAGTTTGTCCGGTTGCAAAAGGCGAGTGCCGCTGGCGAAGAAACGATAATATGCTCCATTGAGATGTACACAAGCGCCATCTATGATCAACCGTCCATAATACAGCAGGGACTTTACATCCTCGCCAGCGACGCAAAGCTCTTGCTCCCCTGGACCTCCTCCAGCTTGACGACGTCCAAACACATCCCCAGCACATCCCTCGTGTCTCTGGGATCAATGACCCCGTCGTCCAACACCACGCCACTCGTCGTGTAGCACTCACTGTCGCGCTGGACGTCGTTTCGGAAGCGGTCGACCTCTTTCCGGATCTTGGCCATGTCGACTTTCCCTTTCCTCTTCGCGCTCGACACTTGGACGGTTTCCATCACTCCAGAAAGCTGGTCGGGCCCCATCACGCTGCACCGCCCCGTGGGCCAGGTGAAGATGAACCGCGGTCGATATGCGCGGCCGCACATGGCGTAGTTGCCCGCTCCGTAAGAGGCGCCTAGGATGACAGAGATGTGCGGAACGGTCGAGCAGCTGACGGCCGAGACGAGCTGGGCGCCTTTCTTGATGATGCCGGCATGTTCGGCCTTGGTGCCGACCATGAAGCCGGTGACGTTGTGGAGAAAGATGATGGGTATATTCCTGAGAGAGCACAGGCGTGAGAAGAGAAGCTTGTGGAGCAATAGCGGACAAGGCGGGTAGGGCTTGGACTTACTGTTGGTTACATAGGCGGATGAACTGGGCGGCTTTTGACGCCTCGTCGGGATTGATGATTGGTGTTTGATTGGCTATGATACCTGCCGTGTGTCCTGTGCATCCAATACTCAGTATCCCACATGTGCAGGGCTTCCTTGGAGTGAGTCGAACATCAAAGAGGACATTCATGTCTTACCTGTAATGCTTGCCCATGCAGTGATGATGTTCTTCCCGTAGGTGGGCTTGAAGTTAGATAGCCGGGAGTCGTCCACGATCCGCAGTAGTACTTCAGACATATCAAACGGCTTGCGGATGTCTGGGTTCACAATCGAGAAAATGTCGTCTGCTGAATATCGTGGCGGGAGGACCGGATTTTGAGCCAGTGATAAGGATCTGGGCCGCCTGTCGAGGGTGCCGACCCATTCCCTTGCTTTCTGTATGGCATCGAACCTGGAGATCAATCCCATCAGCATCTGAACACGACGGATAAACTTCCGTTCGTTGCACATCTTACTCGTCCGAGGCAATTTGGTCCGCGAGCCCAGTGATGGAACCGTGAACCCTTGCGCCGCCTAGATCTTCGGCGTCCACCGTCTCCCCCGTTGCCATCTTGACCAGAGGAGGTCCACCAAGAAACACTTGGGCTTGATCTTCGACGAAGATCGTATAGTCGGAGAGGGCGGGATGATAGGCTCCACCAGCGGTGGAAGAGCCAAATACAATTGCACACGACGGGCGCCCACGTTGACTTCGCAGAGACAGGTCACGAAACAACTCCCCTCCTTTGTGGAAGACACGGAACTGTTGCGGCAAGAATACACCGGCCTGTGGCACTTGAGTGTCAGCGTGGTCAGCCATGAAGGTGCCACTTTGAAGCTCACCGATTGCACGAGCGATATCAGCGGCAGGTCGTTTTCCAGCCCGATCTCCATGATACGGCTTTGCTTAACAACTAGGCAGGTAGAGACTCAGCCAACGATGCCCCCTTTCCTTCTCCATGGCGCAGGTTCCTCTCTCACCTGTAATCTCGTTCCAAGCACCACCACTCTGGGTCGGAATGTGTGACATTATCAAACATAGTGAGCCACTGCGAGGTTGAATCAGTAATTTGAGAGTCGCTTAAGACCGGGTGACTCCGAACTTGACGCTGCCAATCCCTGCTATCAGGTTTGCGCAAGGGTTGGAAGTCTCGACACCAACCCCTGCAAAGCTCCCCAGCTCCAAAAACGGCGACTCCGGATCAAGCAGCAGCGCGATTCTGTCACGAGCTACGCAAACAGCGCGTTAGCGGAAGACAATTGGCCACCCAACGTACTCGTAGGCAAGCTGTAAGCGGAATAATGAAAGGTGTACTAACAGAGTAATTGTCCGCGGTCATTGTGTCTGCGGAGGTTTTCATCGTCGCCTTCGCGGCTGACTTTCTCCAATATCGTTTCGAATCTCTCTAGAACGGGTTTCCAGTTTTCGGCATTTTGCTGGTACTGTGCAGCACTCAGGTCCAGTTTCGAGCGGATAACTGGGAACAGGGTCGTTTGCGGCGACATCTCGTTGTGTTGAGAGAGAACAGGGGATAGATTGTCGCTGATTGTACTTTGTGAGGGAAGACGCACGTCCTAACCACGTCCGTTACGTACCTCGGTTAAAAGATGCTGGATCAGGACAGCTGGGCGGGTCCGTTCTGGGGGCTCTCAATGGCTCGTCGCGGGCGGGGAGCCGTGCCCACCATCGAATCCCAAACCCAACGCGGAATGCATCAAACCGAGGTGAAGGTCGTGGGCGTGGGATTTCTAAATTACAACATATTCCAATTAATTAGTGGTAACAACATAGCATCTGCACGCTCAAACATTACCACCACCTCTAGATCAGAACCGACAACATTTCTGTTGAAGGTCCCCAATCTGGGAGCTTTGGCTAGCTAATGCCGCCAATCCAAGCTCTTGTGAAACACCGCAATACGAGGTAGACCAGACAGTAGCCAAAATAATCTTCCAACTTCCAAATTTTCACAAACTTGAAATACCGACGTTATGAAATTCACATTCTTCTCCTCCTGTAAACCTCTGAGACAGATGGAGTTGACTCATCGATCACGTGCCGGACCCCTCCACTATGCCAAGACGGCCGTAAATAGCCGGTTCGCTGGCCAATAGGAGTTGGCTTTTCCGCTACGGCCTCCTGAATGCCTAGCCTTGTACCACGACGTCGAATATTCGAGGCAGAAGCCCCGACAACAAGGGTTGGCTAGCCGCGATGAGAGAGCCCCAAGGATTGTGCTCATACTCTCCCTCTTACTGGCCTCTGGACATGAAGTAACTCCTTTTTTAACACCGACTGCGCCAATGTCACTGGACGATTGATCTTGAGAAGTCTTGAATTCTTGTTGAAGCAGCTGTCTCGCGGCTGTCTTATCTAATATCTCTAGAGCTCTGATTTGTCTAATACTAAGGGTGATTCATCCATCGTCCGATTAAAAGACTGCCAGAGCGTTAGGCGGAGAAGCCACACCGCCCTTCACGTTCAACGGGGCACTCGTGACGAAAAAGGTCCAGCGCTTCAGACTCTGACATTTCTGTGCAAGAG